GTCGCACACCATCGGTGACTGTCCACGGGGTGCCACGTGGGGCAGGAGTAGTTGGGTCTGGCTTGGGCCCTTCCATGTCTGAGGGCGGCTCAGGGAGCCTCCAGGTCACTGCACCCGTGACTGTGTCTCTCCCAGAATTCTGAGCCACTGGGTAAGACTTCTTAAGCCGGTCAGAAGGCACGCGCTCTCCCGTCAGGGCTAGCGTGCTTGCGGGCCAGTTAAGGGGGTGAAGGCAGCAAATGACTCCGGGAGCTCTAGTCTCCCTGTCCCCTTCGGAGCGGGCCCTGCCCCCTCCCGGCCAGATGCGGTGCAGCCCTGTGTATGCAGCCTGGGCCTTTCCGTCTAGTGGACCTGAGAGTGAGCACTGCGTCACACGCAACTGCGGTGACACTCTGCTGCCTCCCAGGAGCCCTGCGCAGAGAGCAGTCCCACTGGACACCCCACCCCAGGGGAGGCTTGAAGCGTAGCGCTTCCCATCCTGGGGGGCAGGTAGCCCACCAAGCAAGGGCAGGGGTGAGTTCCCGTGTGTGTGCAATGCGTGTGCTACGGGTGCGAGCGTGTGTGCACATGACAGCTTCAGAGATGGCTCTTCGGCTGTGCTGGAACGGATCTGGACCTGTGGGTCCAGGTGGGCAGGTGGGGCCTGGAGTCCAGCGTGTGGCAGTAATGGCTTCGCCGTGTCCCAGTTCCTTCCCGTGTACAGCCCGTCCGAGGAAGAGAAGAGGAGCCCCGTGCTGTACGCCCGCAACGTGAGACGCGTCATGGCAGAGTAAGCGACCATGGCCCCCTCCCTGCGGTGCCAGGCGGGAGCAGGCCAGCGGGGAACGGTTTGCGATGAGGACGGCGCGCAGGCTGTGGCGTCAGCGGCAGGACAGGCTCGGCCTCGCACCCTGTGCTGTCCTCACCCGGCGGCGCCATGTCCAGCCTTGAGAAGGCTGCCGTCCTCGCTCACCCTGTCAGTCCCGCTCAAGCCGAGGCTGCCCGTCACGGCAGGCACTGGGTCCCTCTGACCCCGAGAGCCACCGAGCGCCGGCCAGGCCAGGCCTCGGCTCCAGCTTGCCCTTGCCCACGCGTGCACACACCTGTGCCACCGGGCAGCTGCATGGCCACGCAGTCTCGCAAAATGTTTTGCACGCATGACCCTCCCCCGTGCAGCTGGACACACAGGGCCTTGCTGCCTCCTGTCTGCACACAATCCCCACGCGAGTGGTGTCAGCCGACCTGCTCCCTCTGGCACCTCTCGTCCCTCCGTGTGCTGGCCACACGCGCGTCAGACTCTTGTGCACATCCGTAAGGTGCCTGTCCCCATGCAGCGCGACCGTGACCCCTTGTCACTGCAGGGCCCTGACCCGTCTCTCCCACTCCACCGCCCTGGGACAGTTGTGACAAACGGACACCCTGCCCATTCCACCTCCCGAAGACACCCCGC